GGGCATCAGGCCTGGGCTGGGGGCAGATCCAGGGATGGGGGGAGATGAGGGTCCCCTGCCCAGGCCTGACACCTCTGTCAGAGGCGTCAGGCCTGGGCAAGGGGCTGATCCTGCGATTGGAAGGTGATGGGGATCAACGCCTGAGGGCTCCCAGTATGTGAGAGGGGGCAGGCTGGGCTGAGGGACACCCCCCCCACACACACACACACCCAGTGCACGAATTTCGTGCACCGGGCCCCTAGTTTATTAATAAATCACGATTAAAGTAAAATATTGAAATAAGTGGCCCAGCTCACTGGTAATATCTCAACTGGTGTCAAAGCCATAAAAAACAACAACAGCATCATAACCACACCTCCTCCCCCAATTAATAAATGAAATTAGCAGTCTGGAGAAGGTTCAGAAGGCACAGGACAAGAAGAGAACCAACCAGAAGAGGTATTCAAGTCTGAAATTATCCCACCATGCCTCACTCAAAAAATCCTCAGTGACTCCAAGCTGCTTACAGGACACACTTCTGACTCTCTGCCTGGCATGAAAGTCCCACTGTCTGTGCCACACCCCTTGCAGGTCCTTCCTGCCTGTCCACTTTTGAGGGTCCCCCAGCCCAGCCCACTGTGGCCCTCTTCATTGGGAATGACAGGGGCATCAGCTCAAGTCTCCTGTCGTTGCTGTTTTCAGCGCCTTCCCTGCAATCCATCAGGGTGGGAGCCTGCCCCGAACCTGCCTGGATAAACCAAAATACCAGACTCGTGCCAGATTCTCATCTGGTTCTTTCCTGGTGAAAGAGGGAGGCAGGATGAAGAAAGACCAAACGCAGGACAAGACAATGGAGTTGATAGGTTCAGAAGTTATAAAGAAAATGCCATGAAACTGAGATGCCCTCAGAGCAAGCCAAATGTGGTTTGGTTTTGTAATCTCCAAATGCTGCATCAAACATGTGGCAGTGACAGACAGTAATAAAGAGCCACCATTCTGAGGCAGGGGAAGTTGGCCCATCCCACCTTAGACAGGAGTCAGGGCACACTGCCAAGCCCATCCCAGACAAGCCACGCTCTCCAGCCCCCCAAAAGGGGTCCTCTTGCAGTGACATAGCCATGGCCACCACAAGGAGCTGCCATCCCAGGAAGTCAGGCGCACCATCTCTTAGCACCAACTGCAGTTTGTCACCAAGACCCATTTCACATGACTTTAATAGCATTTGTAGCAGAAACCACAGCTGAATTGAGGATGCGTGTGCATTTTTTTCTCCCCAGAAATTTAACTCATTCCTCCATATGCTCAAGTTTCATCATACAATGAGATCTCTCTAAGGAAACATGAGATTAACCTCTAAAAGATCATCTCTTGAAACTAGGCTCTTCCTGCAGGAGGAAGAGTGAACAGCTGACAGTAGAAAGCCCTGCCCCTCCCGAAGCAGCCCTGTCCAGTCACTGGTTACCACTTCCTCGGCCCTGAGGCCACTCCTGACTCACTAGGCAACTGTTCCCAGCACTAATGCACAGGCTCACTAATAAGACTTATTGACGACAGTCAGGACCAGCTACACAGAAATGTGCTCTCAGGGGCTGTGGGTGAATTTATCCTGACCTCTCCCATCACTCGTGGCTTTCAGAGGAAGGGTCCTGTCAAATTGCATAGCCACCTTCAGAATTAACAGATAAAATCCCTACATCCCCCATCACAAAACCACAGGTTCCTTCCTCAGCCTCAATAACGTCATGGGAGGAGGGGGCAGATTCCAGATCCCACCAGCCTGAGACCTATGCTCCCATCCACTCCCAGGAGCATGGGCATGTCAGCCTTTACAGATCAGGGGCTCTCAAGCCCAGAGCAGACAAGAGCCACGTGTTCTGGAAGCAATTAGGAACCTGCCACACTTGCTAGTAGCAGCTAAAAAGCAGCATTTCTATGTCATTACAAAAAATGACTAAGTTAGACCAGGAGGAAAAAGTGACAAAACATGTATATTTAAATTACCCCACAGTAAAGATGAACACTTTTTTTCCCCAAAAGGAAAGGGCTAAGCTTAAGGACTCTATGCCTGGGCAGACACATAGAAAACAGGCTTGCAGGTGTGTCTGCAGCACCAATGAAATGGTCTCTCCAAAACAGAGCTGGGTCTGATGGGGCCTTAAAGCTACATACTGACTTACAGAGAGCATACTGCTCACCCTGGGGAAACGAAGTCAGGAAGACACAAATTGCAAAATGCTGATTTCAATGAATAAACTGCAAAGGAAAAAGAAAAGATGACAGAGGGAAGCTCTGCATTAAGGTGTTTCACCGGGCCCAGAACTCAGGTCTCACGGGCTCCTGAACTACAAAATGCACAACACACTCCTGAAGTAGGATGACAGGGAGATGTCTGATGACAGCAGAAATTACTTTTTTTTTAAGGTAAGCTTGGTATGATGTTGGCTTTTATTTAATTACTTATTTTTATTTATTTTTTCAAAATATATTTTCATTGATTTTATCTGATACCTGTTTATTGTCACTTTAGGTAAATAACTAATTTAATATTGCTTCATAATGATATATGATCCTATTTAGCCAAATGTCCAAACTTTACTTTTTAATATATTTTTATTGATTTCAGAGAGAGGAAGGGAGAAGGACAGAGGGAAACATCAATGATGAGAGAGAATCATTGATTGGCTGCCTCCTGCATGCCCCCTACTGGGGATTGAGCCCACAACTCAGGCATATGCCGTGACACTCAACCACTGAGCCACACTGGCCGGACATAAAAACAGTTATCTTTTAAAGATACATACTGAAATATTTAAAAATAAAAAATAATGTCTATGTATTTGCTTCAAAATTATTTAAAAAGGTAAAAAAGCCATTTTATTGCCCAGCAATAACATAGGGAAGACAAATTCTAAGTATTTCTATCAAATATTATTTAAATTTCAACTTCCTGGATACAAAGTAGCCAGTCTCTTCAGAATCTAGTTGAGCACTTGAGATGACAGAACAAATGCCCTCAACTGGACGCACACACACAGCACACCTGTGTATACACACACACAAAAACCTAACAGCACATACACAGTACACATGTACACACATGTATGCTGCATAGGCTCACACACATACACAGACTCACAGCACACACGTACAGATTCAGCAGGCACAGCACACATATGTACACACATGTACCAACCTAGCTCATGTACACATAGCTCATGTGTATACATATGTGCATGGGTAGAAGCATAGGAAGGCTGTGCTGTCTGCATGCACAGAGCACAAGGACTCGGGATGGGCACTGTCTTTCTCAAATGGGTATCTCAGCAGCTCCTATAGGTGAGAGGCAAGTACAAGCCAGGGAGAATCCTTTTCAGGCAGGAAAGAGAAGAGAGTCACCTGCTAGGGAGAATGGAGCCCCCAAATGCATGTTACCTGTCTGAGTTCCTGGGAGTCCTCCTCAGAAATGAGTGGCTCGCTCATCTGTAGTTGAAGCAGCCTGCCCTCCTGGTTCCCCGAGGAGGCCTCTCGGTGCCTGGCGCAGTCCACTGGCCTGGACACTGAAACACAAGTCAAACAGCAGTCACATCTTCCCTGATGCACACAATGTAGAAGTACTTACGACTTTACAAAGATCGCTCCTGCTCTCTGGGCCAACGACATCTCTCCATCTGCAGTCTCTGCCTGCTGGTCCCCTCCCTGAGCCTCAGCTAAGCTGAGTGGCTATGGGGCCTGCCCAAGCCTTGCCTTCCACTCCAGTCCAGGGTGGTTTCCTTAACCCACCCTGACCCCAGTGAAACACTGTAAATACCTGGGGTCTGGTTCTATAACTGGCTCTCAGAAGAAAGGGCCCTATCCAGGAGTAATCATTTTCTGTATTAGAAAAGACTATAAATTTAAAGTCTAAGATAGTACTTGAATCCTCATAAACCCACAGGCCGCTCTGGGTCTGGAGAGCACTGGGATGGCCAGCTGACTGGCCAAACAAAGGTAACTGTGGAGCCACGAGGGAGGGAAAGTCTGAGAGCACAAGGCCAGGCATTGCTCAGAATGGGTTTCCGCTCCAACAGCACCTGCCTGCGTAATGTCCCCGAGGAGCAGAAGGGCAGCCTGGTTAGAGGCTGCTAATCAGGTGGCTCACAGCCCCTCCCATGGTGTGCCACCTGTTCTTTATTTAAAGAACTGACTCCACCTGTACCCTGGCACTGGGAACCCAGATGAGGGCATCACTTAGAGTCTGCTGCCTACTCTTCTGCACAGACCACCTCAGGTACACAGTAGTTACGGTTTAGGATGCTGGAGAGGAGAGCAGGTGGCAGAAAGTGCACAGATCTGAGAACCAGCACAAGATGCTCCAAGCAGCCTTCTCTGCTTTAGTGGAATGGGGGCAATCTATCTGCAGCAATCCTAGTGTTATTCCATTTGCATACCTTTTAATGAACTTGCTTGGAACTGCCCTGCTGTTTATTTTTTCAGCATCACTCCAGGATCTCTCTGATTAGCTTCTGTGAGAGATGGTCTATCCACTCACACTGTGCACAGGACTGTGCTCTGGTGTCCATTTCAACACCTATAGCTATATTACTGACCAAGGCATACTCTTTTTGAATGTTTAGCAAAAGAGTATTATTTAAACAGGGTAACAGGTGACCCCCACCTCCTTCCCAGCACCCTAGTGGTGGTGAGCAGAGCCACCTTTCATCAGAGTGGCTTGGAGCAGTTGCTAAGGAATGGAAAAGCAAGTCTGTCTCGGTAAGGCTCTCACTGGCCTGAAGGGCTGAGGCCCAGCTGGTGGCCTTCAGGACACACCAACTGCACAGGTCCCTCCTTGGTGGTAGAGGTCAGCCACCCCAACCTGCACACAAAGGTGCCCCCTCTAATCCTATTTCTTAAAAAAAAAAATAATTCTTACAAATAACACTCCCTGAAGAGTGCCTGGAGGAGGAAGATAATGCTCGGCCTGTGGTCAGCGGACTCCTATCCTGCCTCAGGATAAAAGCAGGTTGTGATGAGACAGGAAGCAGGTTCTCAGGATCCCAGGAAGAAAAGGGCCCAGGCCAAAGGAGTAAGCTCAGGCAACAGAGGAGTAAGTCTGCCGAAGGCAAGACCCCAGCCCTACCCCAGCCCATCTCTAACTGTGCGAGTGAAAAACGCATCCTGTACAGAGCCACCACACCTGGACCTCATCTCTAGGTCTGGAAAAGTCGCACAAGACAAAACATTACTGCAAACCATGCACTCGAATATCTGCTGTTCTAGGCCATTCTTTATGAAAATGCTAGTGGAAGCCCTTCTAAACAATGTCATAACTTGTGTTCTATACTTGCTAACGCCCCACCTACTCCAACATCCTGGGGGGCTTGTTCATCAAAATGGTCCCCATTGTTCCAATGTGGTCTAGTGTCCCTCACTGGAACATCACATATGAAAAGTCCTTTTCTAAAGTGTTGGTCAGCAGCAGAACACTGTCAGAGCTGGGTTGAAAGCTATCATGGCAGAACAGAGGGAGTATCCTACTAGTTATTATTAGCCTAAAGGAGAGGCCACCTTACGCATGCCGTTAAAGCATTACCTGTGATGACACAATGGCAAAGTGCACTTCATAGGCCTGAGAATAGCAGTTCTCTGGCCTCACTCAGCATGTACCTGTGCTCAGTCTGCCCCCTCCCCCACCCCCAGCATGCTGGCCCCACCTACCTCTCCACCCCACACAGGTCCTGCACTTGGCCCTTCTATCTGCAGCAATCCTAGTGTTATTCCATTTGCATACCTTTTAATGAACTTGCTTGGAACTGCCCTGCTGTTTATTTTTTCAGCATCACTCCAGGATCTCTCTGATTAGCTTCTGTGAGAGATGGTCTATCCACTCACACTGTGCACAGGACTGTGCTCTGGTGTCCATTTCAACACCTATAGCTATATTACTGACCAAGGCATACTCTTTTTGAATGTTTAGCAAAAGAGTATTATTTAAACAACCAGAAAGCCAAAATGGAGGAAATTCTTCCTAGACTATACTAAGTCAGAGATGTTTTTCAGGACAAGCCACGGGCTCAGTGGAATCCCGCCCAGCACAAGGCTTTGGCCACCCCCAGTGCTGTGTTGACACTGGAGCTATTGACTCAGTTACCTCAATGCTTTGAAATATCTTCTGAGAAAAATTAGTTTGGTTCAGTATAAGATGGTTTTTGACTCTAAAGTCGTTAATTATCTCTGCTAACCAAACTAAGCACACATTGTTCCAGCTAAAAGGAAACTTACAGATGATTTCACTTTCCAGGAAGGAGAAGACATCGAGGAGGGCCTGACTGGGCAGTAGAGGCGGCACCAGAGGGCAAGTGTGAGGCAAGATTTCCATGGGGTGAGTGAGCAGGTGACCAGGGTGTCTTTAATTAGGTGGTCAGGGAAGGACTCTCTCAGAAGGTGCCAGTCAGTAAACAACAAGAACAAAAATCAGTTCCGGAACCCTTAACAGTGCCAGGCATGGCCTGCTCTGATGGAGAAGGATCTGTGGGCTTCCGCCCACACCTGTCACTCCAGGACCATGAAACAACCTGGGAGCATGCTACGACTGCTAAAAACTATCAAGACCACCAAAGCAAGGAGAGTCTGAGTAACTGACACAGTCAAGAAGGGTACAAGGAGATGCGCTACCTAAATGTCACATGGGATCCTGAAAGAGTAAAATGTAAAACAATCTGGATAAAATATGGACTTAGGCGAATAGCAACGTATCTTTATTGGTTCATTAGTTATGACAACAAAGGAAGCTAATGTCGGGTGACAACAAGAGTGTGGAAGACATGGGAACTCTGACTATCCTTGTAATTTTTTCTGCAAGTCTGATACTATTCTAAAATCTGAAAGGTTATTTAAAAGATACTATGCAGAAAAATAGCACTTTGCAAATGCTCTTCCCTAAGGTGGAAAGTGCCCACCTGTGTCATTCAGGGCCCTCAGAGGTCCACACAACACATTACTCAGAGGTCTCTGGAAAGTTCTACTCACAAGGCAAATACCTGTCTCCTGTTACTAGACTGCCACCTACTGGCCACATGTTTTACCCAAATACCTCATCAAGGAGAGGAATCCATTTCTGAGATGTCAGTCACTGTTTCCACCTCCACTGTCTCTGCAGTTTCCAATGTGGAACAGCAAAGACAGAGGTGATGGCAGACACAACACAGGCGACAGTGAGAAATTGACCCTTGTCGCCAGGATTGCAGAGGACACAGTGAAGTTTCTAGCAAGTCAGATGCCATCTCACTTGCTAAACTCAACATGCTGGCTTCTTCCAAATACATCACTTCTCATTACCTGAGCCTCTCCAAACCCATAGCTGTAAGAGGCTCCTACTCTGTGAGGCGGGGTGGCCTCACAAAGGGAGGATGGAACTTCTTGCTCAGAGCAGAAGACACTCTGCAGGGATCCCACCCAGGGGCTAAAGTTAGCACCGAGATGAAAACCCATCTGTCAGCTCATTCCATACACATTGGATCCATTACCGTGAAAGGCCAGGCCACAGCTATTCAATCCAACCCTAATCTAGGTGTTTATAGTGTGGATAGAGAAGGCCTATAATCACTGACTTTAGGTAAGGGAGACTGTCCTAGATAATGTGGTGGGCCTGCTACAATCAGTTGAAAGGCTTTAAAAGCAGACCTGTGGCTTCCTGGAGGAGGAAGATGATGCTCGGCCTGTGGTCAGCAGACTCAGCCTGTGCCCAGGAGGTTCAGCCTGCCCTTCCTGACGACACGCCTGTGGAACTTGCACGCACCTATCTTCCTACAGTCTGCCTGCTCCTCTCCAGCCCTGTCTGCCACCTGGGCTCTAGCGTCAGGGCCTGTCATCCTACCTTTCATGGCATCCCTGACAGCAGGCCCAGCAATTTTGTGCAGTGTGACCTCTGTGCTACACATAGCGTGCTCGCATCTGCCATCTCATTCCTTACATGCTGTGCCCTATTTTCTATCAGAAACCCCATGTCCAACAACCCACAAACATGGTGGAGCTCTGTGACAAGGAGGGTTGTGGGTTTTATTTAGCATTTTTTCCCAAGACTATAGGTGCCGAATACCATGCCTGGCTCTGCAGGGTTCTCAGTGCTGGCGGAGCCGGTGGCTGATGGTTCTGTGTGTCTCATCCCTACAGAGCCTCCTCCTCTCACTGCTGAGGCCTCTCCCATGGGAAAATGCAGTTGGTGACTCAGTCAAAACTTGGGGCATCAGAGCAGCTGCCCAGCTGGGCTTGTACGTGGCCTTGCCTGAAGGGCCCTTTGGTCAGGGTCTCACATTGGCTGCCACATCCCATCATTCTTGCCTATTTTATGGGCCAGCTTCTGAGTCCTTGAGTGAGGGGGCCAAAGAAAAACCAGAAATGCCAAGAAAGTAAGTTTTTAAATTAAGTTTTTACATTAATATTTCTAACATTTTGGATCTCATGAGACCAGATCTATTATCAAGTATATATTTTTTGGAAACTCAAAGTCATCTAGAATAATATCAACATATTCATGTGTTAGGGAAATAGGTTACATATTAGAATTAAAATCAATCACTTAAGAGAAAGAAGAAAAGAAACCAGAATAGTAACAAACATCTCTCTTACTTTAAGAGACATGCAGGAATCAAAGATACTTGTAAAAAAAAAATCACATTAAATACAGAAGTAATATTACCTATAATTCTAGTATTAGAAAATATCAGAGTATTTTATGACTTTAGTATTTCTTAAATGGGGCTCACAAACAAACTTAAGGGAGGAAATGGTGGATCTGACCACCGCAAAATTAAAGATTTCTGTAATGGAGGCTGACAGTCTGGGAAAGCACTGGCAGCCTCTCAAATCAATAAGGAATGAAAATCTAGAATACATAAAGAACTCTTGCAAATCAGACAAAATAATAACAACAACAAAACACACAGAACAGGCAATCCACAGAACAAAACCTGTGGGATTAAAGAGCAAATAAGCATCAGATGCTCTATCTCACAATCAGTGAAAGAAATTAAAATACCATCAAGATGCCACAGAACACTTGTAAGAATGGCAAAACTGAGAGGTCAAACATCAAGTTATCCCGTGCTATGGAGGACGCTGTGACCCAAGAACCTCGAGATGTATGGACATGTAATATATCCGCATGTCCTGCCTCCCACACTCCACCCCACTGGACATGCCAGCTACACCCTCCACACCCCAGAGACCTGCAAGAGAACACCACAGAGAAAGCAAGTTTTTCAGAATACCTCACGGATGCCCCATAAACTACTCAAACTATGCTGATAGTTTTCAAAGATTCTGATACCTGAACACACACCTGGAAGGTGGTCTGGGAAGACCTCGATCAAATGTGAAGGAAAACAGGAGTGAGGCTGAGTAAGTTACTGATGGGGGGACTGGAGACTCAGCAAAGCAGGTGGGAGCTACGGCTAGCACAGCCTAAGTGCCCATCTGTAGATGAATGGATTAGAAAACTGTGGTACATCTAAAAATAAATGAGTAAAGCATAACCAATGGACATAAGACACTGGGGGGTAAGGGAGGCCAGGGGATTGTCAAGGCGGGGGGAGGTGAAGGAGACATACGTAATACTCTTTGTAATACTTTAAGCAATAAAAAAAAAAAAGACCCTGAAATGCTAATTCTCAAATCAAATAGAAGAAAAGGTGAAAACACTTAACTCAGACCTCTTTGTTCTGAAAAGGTCATCAAAACCCTTTCTGATCTACTTGGAAATCTCTATAGCTTTCCAGTGTATGATAAACCAAAGTGATTTGAGATTCACAGTTGACAAGTACTAAGGAAAAGGGTCTGAAATTATTTTTATTTACAATGCATGTTAAGTACATACCACAGGCAGTCTGAACTTCCCGGGTCTGTGCACAGGCTGTGCTGACGGTCACTTACCTGCCTGCCAGCCTAAGGAGCCCTTCTCTGCTGGGGAATAGGTTCCAGTGCTTCTGAG